CTCTCTCTCTCTCTCTCTCTCTCTCTCTCTTGCCCTTCCTCTTGCACACATCCCTTCTCTCTTCTCTCTCTCTCATTCTCTCTCTCTGCAGGTCAATATCTATGGGGGAGCCATAGCCCTGGGCCACCCCTTAGCCATGTCAGGAACTCGCATCGTGGTCACCCTACTCAACGCCATGAAAAGGACCAATGTCACGAAGGGCTTGGCTGCTATCTGCGTAGGGGGAGGGATGGGCATTGCCATTTGTGTAGAAGCATTTTAGTCAGGCAAATACAGAGGCGGCGCTTCCGGGGGGCAGGGAGGCACAGTGCCCTCCCACTTTTTCAAGTACCCTCTAGAAAAAGCACCCCCTTCACCTCTGATAATTGCCCTATTCAAATCTAAGAGGCGCCCTTTTTACTTTGACAAGTGCCCCTTTTCCTTTGTAAGAATTACCCCTTCCCATTTTAATAACTACATCTTTTTAACTCGGATAAGCGCACCTTATATTTTCACATGTGCCCCATGTCCCTTCTCATAAATGCCCCTTTTCACCTAAGAAAATAGTCCCTTTTATTTCTCATGCTAGTGCCCCTTTTCATCTCTGGTAAATGACCCTATTAAATTCTGAGAGATACTCGTTTTATTTTGACACGTGCCGCTTTCCCTTCCTAATAAATGCTCTTTTTCCTTCTTATAAGTGCCCCTACCCTTTTTCATAAAAACCCCCTTTCACCTCAAATAAATGTCCCTATTAAAATCTACTTGGTGCCTCATTTCTTTCAACAAATGCATATATCCCTTTATTATTAGTGTCCCTTTTTTATTCTCATAAGTGCCTCTTTTCATTTAAGGTCAGTGCCTCTTTTCACCTCCGATAATTACCCTTTTACTAATGATACATGCCCCTTTTCCTTTCTTTTAAGGAATCTATCCCTTTTTCATAAATGCCCCTATCAAAATCTGATGGTTGCCTCTTTTCCGTCGACAAATGCACAAATGGGGGGGGGCGGAAATTCGAAATTCGCGCAGACCGTTATTTAAACTTACCAATACTAACAAGGTCATATTAGAATACTGTACTTTAATAGTGTACTGGTACCTACAAACGGGCACAATTATTTTGGAAAGGGGACATGCTCACGTCACATTTCTTGTCCGATATCAACATTCCCCGTTTTCAAGTTATGCTAGCGCGCAATTTTTTTGACATTTCCATCAGTGGGGGCTGAAGCCTCTTGCCCCAATATCTATTTCCTGGTTTAATAATTTGGCGAGTGAGCGAAGCGAGTGAGCGGAAATTTGAGCTTATGTATGTTGTGAAAAGTGTTAATTGTCACCAAAATATACGAGATAAGATATAACAAATGCATATTGGTAATTTTTAAATTTTCGGGGAAAGAGAGGCTGCAACACCATCCCGCATTAACTGCAGGTGTTTTGAAATCGAATCAGACTCCCCAAAAAATTATTAACCAAAACGCACGAATCCAGTTTCAAAAATCCAAATCCAAAAAATGTCAGCTTCAGAGGGGGGCACATCACCCCTCAGACTCCCTCTAAAAGTATTAACCGAATCGCACGAATCTAGGTAAAAAAAAAAATCAGCTTCAGAGCTAGAGAGGAACCCCCCCCCCCCACACACACACACACACACACACACACACACACACACACACAGACACCCCCTGTGCGCGCAAGCGTGAAATTTACGCTGGCGCTAATGCGTAAGCAGGGGCGGCGGAGCTATTTCCAAAGTGGAAAGCACCAACAAAAAAGGGCACCTACAAAGCGAAATCTCAAAGCGAAAATATACATTTTTTTAGACATTGGTATATACCCTTTCATTGTGATTCCATTATCAGGGACGATTTCAATATTTGTTTTTCTTTATATATCATACAAGTTATTGCTTAAGCATCACACTTTCGGCTGAGTGTGATTGTCTGAATATTCATTTGCGAGCGAGCAAAGCGAGCGACAAAAAAATGTAAGATCTGTGAGGTCGCAGAGTGAAAAAACCAAATCATGATGGGGTTATAAGCATCACGGAAGACTGAAAAAGCATTTGTTTTAAAGTGACATATATTTGTATCATCTATAAATGCGAGCGAGCGAGCGAGCTTTAGGGGAAATTACTCTTAGTCGCTTTAAATTAGGTGCAAGACTAATGATGAGCAGGTTAGGGGGCACGTGAACCCACAATACGAACAACAATACGAAAACAGAAGTTATATGAAATTGTCTTTAAGAGAGAAAGAGAGATTAAATTCTAAAATTAAATGAAAGGGGTTATGTGACTCTCAAGGAGGAAATTACAATTTCTATCGCTCATGACGACTATTTGGAATTTCCTTAAAAAAATTAAAGTTCAAGAACTTCCTGGGGCTCCGCCCCATGCAAGACTCCCGGCAACAGCAAATTATTTACACAATTTCTTGCTGTCTGCTGCCTCGAGATCACTGGAGCGAAGAAAGGTAACATATAGCAAGAATCCCTATTCAGTGAAGGATTTATCCCTTTTATTATTAAAGACTCCCGACGAAGGCTCTCCCCCTGCAAAATTGGAGAGAGTTTTTATGTAATTAAGCTTCTGACAACCACGCCCGTGGACCTTTTATCATTTACACAAAGGTAAAAGTGTATAGCAAGAATCCCTATTCAGTGAAGGATTCATCCTTTTTATGCAGATGCTTCTTTTACCATTCTTGACCAGAAGTGCGTTTCAAACTCAATGATATGGGCATCATCCCATTGAATGTTGTGTCCAGTGTTACGGGTTTGTTTTGCTACTTGCTGCCTAATCTGAGGGCTCTGTTGTGCTCTTTAAAAAGAGGACACAATAGGGGCGGCGCAATTTAAATATCAAGGAATGTATTAGAGTTTATTTCTAAAATGAAATGAAAGGGCTATTTGACTTTCAAGAGCGATAAAAACTCTAATCCATCCCTTGAAATTTAAATTGCACTGCCCCCATTCAGTGTGCCATTTTCAAAGAGCACAAAAAGGCTTCAGATTGAAGATTCCATCTCATAAAATTGTCTATAAGAGAGAAAGGGGTTTATTTCGAGAGAAAAAATGAAATGAAAGGGCTATTTGACAAGAGCCCTTTCATTTCATTTTAGAAATAACCTCTCTTCCTCTCTTTTAGACAATTTTCTCTCTTGAAAGTCAATATCCCTTTCATTTCATTTTAGAAATAACCTCTTTTTTTCTCCTAAAGACAATTTCTCTCTTGAAAAGGCTCTGCCAGGCCCCTCAAGCTCTGCCATGTTGTATGGATCTATTAGAAAGCAAAATAAGCCCACTCAATAATTGATATATATTAAAACGTCATAGCGATTCATCCAAATAAGAAATCCACGTAAGAGGTATTTTGAAAGTTTTAAGAAAATTCTTTCAAATTCCAGGATATTGGGTGTTCTTTTTCAGGAAACTCTATTTAAACTAGTGGAAGCACTGGTGGTTCTGTTTTTTTTAAACTGTAACAATTCTCCTTGGATCAGATATAGACCAAAAACAAGCCTCATTATCTTCAGTATACAAGTGTCATTTCGGACCTTACAGCTTTCATAGAAATCGCTTCTGGACCGTCAAAGAAAAAGTTTGAGAACCCCTGGTCTACGCATTATACACATCAGGACCAACTTGACAACTTGACAAAAATTTGAGGGGGGTTCGACCCCCCCCCCCCCCCTGCGTACGCGCCTTTTTTTTTCTTCCTCTTTTTTCCTTCTCAATTTTTTTGCGTCGCCAATAGGGGGGGGGCACGGCCGTTTCGGCCCACCCCTGGATCCGCCACTCTTTTTAGGTGTAAGAAGTACCCCATTTTCAACTCTGATAATTACCCATTGTACTTTGACACGGGCTCCTTTTTCTTTTCTAATAAGTGTCTTATCCCTTTCGATAAGTTTCCCCTTTTCCTCTCATCATTACACGTGCCCCTAATTTCAAGTGACTAAGAGCAATATCCCCCAAAGGTCGCTCGCTACGCTCGCTTGCATTTATAGTTATAATTATGTCACTTATCAAAGGTCTTTTCCGTCTGCTGTTATGAGAATGTGCTTATAACCCCATCAGGAATGGGTTCTTTCCTCTTTATAAGATGTAATAAGATGGAAGGTACTCAAATTTGGTTTGAACGGGGGTGTGCGGCTGAAGCGTCTAAACCCATACCCCTTTTTAAGGGTCATTTTGGCAGAAGATGGTACCCATTATTAGGGGACTTTGGATGAAAAGGCGATATGATTTCAATTGTTTTTGCGGGATTTTGCATTAGATTTAGGTTTACCATGTGATTTGGATAAACATGTATATAAATTATGCCTCTTTTTTTCCATGTTCACATACATGCTTGCAAAACTAAAAATATGTTATATGACATTCATTTTGTAAAGAGAAAAAGTGTAATTATTCATAATAATATAGTTCCTGAGCAGCCATACCCCTAGAATTATATTTTTGATAGGTATATATTTTTCATTTTTTATTGTTGATATTGCACCAGTAGATGTGGATTAAAGATAAAATTATGTAACCACTCATATTTTTCATACTTTTGTAATGATTTCATAACCACTTTACAGTTATATACAGTGAATAAAATATACACAAAATGAAGAAAAAGATGAAAATGTAATACTTTTATTGAACTGTATGGGAACAAACAATGCCAATAAGGTTAACACTAGCGTTGCATATGACGTGAGAAAGGGAGAGATAGATCGAGAGAGGCTGGGGGATAAAGCGAAAGAGAGGGAGATATATCTAATCACCAGGGACTGTAATATCACGATTACATAATAATAATAATAATATTTGCATTTAAATCCTCCTTGAAAGTTGAAACAGACAAATAAGAAGTATATTCCCCGGGGTCTATTCCTGTCCATCGATCTTTGACTTGAGCTGAGTGGTCCAAAGTTTTGTGTCAAAGGTCAGTCTCGGACGATCTTTACTAGATTGATTCAACAGGCTTTTCTTGAATTCATTCATTTTCCCTATACGTCAATACGGCTCACTTTTATTCAAACGACTGGATTCTTTTGTGGCGTCAGCTGTGTCTGGAGAACGTCAAATCTCTACTCAAAGAGTGCTTTTACTTTTGATAATTCGGCTTCACCGCAACGAAAAATATCAGCCATCATGTCTGATCCAGTTGTCATCGTTTCTGCCGTTCGCACTGCAATTGGTAAGTGAAGAAAGAGCGAATTCCGCCCATTGATTTGTCACGATTCGCCGCCTGCCCGTGTACGGTCCCACTCGCGAAGAATTGTGTGTTGTCATGGTTGTAAGTGTGTAAAATCCACGCCCACTTGACTATATAAGGTGTATCTCGGTTGACTGGCCAGCGCTGGTCCCCAGCCAGCTCCCAACTGCGACTGTATTTAGGGGAAGTGGATGTCAACCTTTAGAAACGGAGCATGGTATTAATTTTGACTAACTTCAGACAGGACTTGCCATGAGAAAACAATTGTAGGATGTCCAACAAATTTTGTAAATTTGTTGCACACATTTTTTATTTGATCAAAGAAAATAGAATTGTGAATGTGATATTTGATTGATGACCTTCCTCAGTCATGATCACATATGAAAATATTAAATATGATATTAACATCACCAAGCTTTAATTAGCACCCATAACCCTGTGTGAAGAGACAGGCAAACAAACCCTAGTAAAATTTTGTCTAGCTGAACACCCCTTCCCGCACCCAACAAACATTGCACACTGACTTTGCGCTTCAGAGATAGCTAGTGGACTCTTTCTTCTCATACAAAGTACTTTGAAATTGGTCAAATAATTAAAATAAATTATGAGATTTTGATATTGGAGTGATACTGATTTGCTTACCTTCCAATGTTCCTGATGATATTGATAAGTTGTACAATTTATATTACAAAAACGATAACCTCTTAGTCTTACGAGAGTTCGCGATTTTGATTCCGGTTGAAATGCAAAGACATGCAGTATACACGTAAAAAAACGATTATTGCTTTGCTAATTTGATACTTGCTTTACGATAATAGCAATTTGTGTTTAAAGGAGCGCGCGCAGGAAGTTTGCTAATTTGTGCGTGCGTCTTTGTATTCTGAATCGGTATTATCGTAAATATCTTTCACATGTTGTTTCTCCCAGCGTTAGTCTCAGTAATCACCTCTTTCCAAAAAAGATAAATCACAAAAAATCCTAGCCTGGAACTAATGCCCTTGTACAAGACATTAATCTTTGTCTCAACAGAGGTGTTGTACCTGTTAGGATGCAAAAGTCATTGTAATTCGCTCTGGATTGTAAGAGTCTGTAAAAGGGGGCGTGGTTGGAATGCTCTCCAGGGAATTTAAAATGTGCATACATTGTGTTCGAGCATGCCTGAATCCGATAACCGGGGTAATTATACATGTATTTCTGTAAAGTGCTCGGATACATTGTCGGTGAATAAATGCTACACAATAGATGTTTCATCATTGCTTCTATTGTTTATAGGTAGTCTGAATGGAGTATTGTCAACTGTAGCAGCCCATGATCTGGGAACCATAGTCATCAAGGAAGCCCTGCAGAGGTCAGGGGTCAGTAGCAGTGATGTTTCAGAGGTCATCATGGGTCAGGTGTACACAGCGGGTCAAGGCCAGAATCCAGCCAGGCAGGCCAGTGTGAATGCAGGAATACCAGTTGAGGTGACTAATGATTAGGAACATTGGGTAGAGGTCATTTGAAAGGTCAGGGGTCATTGGTGTGTCAAGAGGTCATCATGGGTCACACCTTTGTCCCCATTGCATATTATCGAGATTGCATCTTTGCCATCAGTATTAAATACCATGACAACATCACTTGACAACCAATGAAAATACGGTATTCAGACATGGAACAGTTACCATCAATGCAAAAAGGCCCAGGTCAGGTCAAAAGTTTTTGAAGAATCAAACAATCAAATTCATATGCAACCCATCATAGCTTCAAGTTCAAAGTTGATTGCAATTGTCCTGAGCATCTGTAGTGGGGAACAATTTAAATGTGGATAAGAAATTTGGCTTGAAATTAACCACTTGCTGTGTGTGCAGGAAAATATAAATCAACATGGGTATCTGTCCTCCTCATATTTGAAAATTGAAAAGCTGATCCATTTAAACTGATTTTTAAACATGTATTTCTAAATGCTGACTAACACCTTTGATGTACAGTACCTTTCATAAATGGGGATATAAATGTATTGCATGGCATTGTCGACTATTGGAATTTGATGACATCCGTTATTTATATCTCTCTGTTGTTTGCAGGTACCAGCAACTAACGTCAACATGCTGTGTGGTTCCGGCCTGAGGACAATAGTCCTAGGAGCGCAGGCAATCATGTGTGGGGACTCTTCCATTGTGGTTGCAGGGGGTCAGGAAAGCATGAGCCAGGTTGGTAATGGTCCATGAATAAACTCTGTGTCAGGAAGACCCACTTATCGTTATCTTTGAAAGCTAATTTGTTCTGTTTCAGGGAGGAGGGGGCAAGGAAGCGAAACAAAAGTGTGTAGAAGCATCATGGAATAATTCATTAAATATTTTAGTTGCATGTTATCAGTCATTTTTTTATGAAATGTGCATACTTTTCTATTACCACTATGGAGGCTCACTAATTGTGTTTAAAAAAGATTGTATAAACATGAGAGTTTATTAGATTTTGATTGTGAAGTCAGAAAGTATGAAGGTTTAAAGCCTTATGAGACTACATAGTATTATTGTGTATACAGAAGAAACTCTTCTATTGTGGTGGGAGGGGTCAGGAAGTATGAGTCAGAAGGGTAATAATTTATGTCCATGTTCCATACAGACCCACGTATAGCTATTTTTGAAAGCTCATACATCAAGTAAAGGTTGGGGTCATAAACCATGTTCGCAGAAACAGAGTTTATTACATTGTGGTGGTTTTTATTTTTTTATTTTTTTACTTCGACTGTGTGTAGAAAAAACTCTTCTATTGCATGATAGTTTGAGCCATAATGTCAGTACAAACTGTTAATGTATTTAAAAATTAACCAGTGCATACATGTAGCTATACATATTATTTGTGGAAGTAATTTATAGATAAGTCACAGAATGATCAAAACTTTGGAACATGTTGTTCTCAAAATTGACATCCTTTAGCTGCATGCACACCCATGTCTTTCTCCCAGTCGCACGACCAGTTGATTCATGGTGTGACATTTCGCTGGCAGCCCGCAAAAAAAGGCCATTACTGTTATAGCCTTCTTGTGGGGAACTGACGATATGCCACATTTGCCCCAGGCTTTATTTCGTCAACGTTGTAGGATAAGGATAAGGTTTAAGTTGCAACTTGGTTTTAGGTTAAGGTTAGGGTGAGGATTAGGTTTAGTGTTAAAGTCCAGGAGTTGACTGATGTTAGGAATTCAGTTAGCCTTACTCTATGAAGTCCACCACGACGCGTTTGTTGATGAAGAATATGTCATAGATCCATGATACGTATGTATTTCATTGTTTGTTCTCCCTCAGGCGCCCCATGCAGCCCATCTTCGTAGCGGTCTGTCCTTCGGTGACAAGCCTTTGGTGGATCTGTTAGTAAATGATGGCCTTATGGATGCATTCAATAATTACCACATGGGAATTACAGGTATATAATTGGTACTCAAAGACCCTATCCAATGAAAATGCAACTTTATATCAATAGAAAGCACAATGAATGTAGAATATATTTTAAAGGAATACAAAATATGTTCTCTTTTAGTATTGCATAAAAGAAACGTACAGTTGACAAGTGACAACATAACATGTGAACCTGATCAGCTCGCCTATGTAGCTAGCTTTCCGTTGATGTATAATGCATCTATTTCATTTTTTCGCTTTCGACATGGTCTTTAATTGTCCCATCAAGTGAATGTTCATGTACTCATGGTGAATTCACTCAAGATCTACTGTATCTTCTTCAATTGATAAGGTGTTGAAGGAAAAACCCTTCAAATTTCTTGCAGAGCTTCATGAACCTTGCATAAATGACAACTATTATGGAATACAAAAAGAATTTAAAAAGCTGCAAACCATTCCTATTTGGGAGAAATGATTCATATTTTTCTACCTTAAAAAAGAACTCTGTATTCTTCATCTTGTCTGAAACATCTGTATTTAAAAGCTTGCCAAATGCAATATATTCCTTATTCTGTCCTTGGAAAATCCTCATTATGCCTCAGAAAGTTGTATGGAATAACATTATTTTGTGAAAATTACCAATTTTGACAGCTGAAAACCTGGCCAAGAAATGGGAAATCACACGTGAACAGCAGGACCAGTTTGCTCTGGGGTCGCAGCTCAAGGCCGAGAAGGCCCAGACAGAAGGCATCTTCGCTACAGAGATCGTCACTGTGCCGATTAAGAGCCGCAAGGCCACGGTAGAGGTCAACGTTGACGAGTACCCAAGGAAGGGGTCAACCATCGAGGGGATGACTAAACTCAGATCGTGCTTTATCAAGGATGCAACGGGAACGGTTACTGCTGGCAACGCATCTGGTAAGCCCTCCTGTTACTTCTTCTTCTTTTTCTTCTTCTTCCTCGTTAAATGCTACTTCATGCAACGATTACGCACTGCAGTGTGGTGTGCCATGTCCAATATGTGTGTAGGCATCAATCCAGGTGCAAAATATATACATATAAAGTGATGTGCTGTTAAAAACGTGGACAGCGATGTGCTGCCATCAGTTGGTCGCTTCCTTCCATGTCCCTTCCATACCATTTTTTCTTCCTGACTGAGGTTTGCTCCCAGGGGAAAAAGCTTCATACAAATTTCATTTAACAAAGAACAAGAAGCCATGATTAACTTGTGAAAGATCATGTATGACAATCATTCAAAACTTTAGTTGCCGTTATCGACAAACTGACTTTGTCAGACCCTGGTTTGAAACTGAGTCAAAGACCGGTCCCCAGATGTAAATAATTAAATATGATTGATACATGTCTCATTGCTTGATTTTGGCTGATCTCAAGCTTTTTCATGTATCTATTTCAGGTCCTTTTCAGGCAACATGTTGTATAAAATGTGCAGGGCTCAACATGTTTTAGCCCTTTTTCAAGTTTAATGAGTTAAACCAACTGGTGTCTATGATGGCTGTAAAAACCCGATTTACAATCACTCACACAGACACTAAACTTTAAGAAATGCAGAAAAACCTATTTTAACAATGCAGAATTAAGATCTGCCAGAGTACATTTCCTACTTCCTTGGAAGAGGTTCATCTGATTGGTAGTACTTCCATAAATTGCCTACTCGTTGCTGCAGGCATCTTCAATACTGATGTTTTATCGCCACTAGCTGGGGTAGTAGAACAGTCCAAGATAGAGCCATCTATACACAGAGTTTGGCAAACCTGGTTGGAGTTGGAGACAACATGGCAACTACTGCTTTGTTGAGCAAGCACAAAACAAAAGAATATATGCCATGTTGTCACCCAGGGAAACCAAGTTGGCCAAACTCTGTATATAGATGGCTCTGGTCCGAGAGAATGGGAATGTACAGCAGGGTGCTACAAGAATTTTTTTCACCACTTGCCCTGTCGGGCAAGTGGGTTTTCAATTTACTTGCCCAAACAATATTTCCACTTGCCCAAAACTTTTAAGGCGGTGCCTCCATGTTTACTAGCACAATCGAGAAAAAACAGCTGATCAACGCACGTGTGTGTCTGTGCAAGCCGCTGTCATTTGGAAACGTAGGCTAATTTTCAGCTGTTAATAATTTGGGTCAACTCTTCCATCAAGAAACGTCATGTAAATAATGGGTAATCAACTATTTTAAATAAAGTACGGACATTTTTATTTCATCATTCACTGCTATAAATATCATGCCAAAATTTGTAAATTCTTACTAAATAATAATATTGAAGATATTTTACGATAAATCTCGGATAAGTATGCGAAAACTAGACTAAACAACGTCGCTAAAACCATGAAAACAAAACAACAACGGCTTATATTCTGGGGGTCTCGATACTATTATCACAATGACTCGCTCGGTCGGATCTTGAGACCGCAGTAATAAATTGAAAACAAGACAAAAACATTCATCTGATTTATATGAGCAGCGAGTTTTAAATAATATGTTCACAATCATTAACAGTCATTATGAATAAATATCAAACATTTGACTTTTTGTACTTACTAGAAAATCCCTGTTGTTTATTCCATTCCGATTCGCACGTGTTCATTTCCCTAGAATAATGACGTCATATTTGGCGTGATTCAACCAATCGGCAATCAGAGAATAGCAAAGGCCTGTCGGTGCGGCCTGCAGAGCTAGAGAGAGAGAGCGCGAATAAGCTCGCAGCTGGTACGATCGCGCTAGCTGTCTCTAGCTAGCTCACGGCCGGCCGTGCGTGGAGGCGGAGCGGCATTCATGGCTTGAAGTGTCACTGTTGCATGCGCGCTGAGCTAGCTGAGCTGGCTAGCTGTCTGTGAAGTTTTTTCGAAATCGGAACGATCGCTTTTTTGCTTCTGGATTTTGACGACGGGTAAGAAGTTGACGGGTGAATGGTAGAGTTCTTGGACACTAGGAAATTACTGTAAAAGTATCACTTGCCCGAATCGGGCAAGTGATAATTTGATTTACTTGCCCGACGGCTCAATTTGGTTGCCCCGGGATGTCGGGCAAGCGGGTTTGTCGCGCCCTGTGTACAGTCATGATAGGTTAAAGTGGCCCATGTCGTGGTTCATGACATCTTTCTGGATATGAACCACCTCCCTGATCCATCTTTTATACTACATCATCTATTCCTCTCGCCCAGGTATCAATGATGGAGCAGCAGCAGTGGTTCTCATGAAGCTGTCCGAGGCTCAGAAAAGGGGTGTGGCACCTCTAGCAAGGATAGTATCATGGGGCCAGGCTGGGGTAGATCCAGCTATCATGGGGTCTGGTCCTATTCCTGCTATCAAGAAAGCTGTAAGTAGATCCATCCCATCTTTTCGTCCCTATTTTCACGAAGTGACGGTAGTGAGGAAAATCATCACGCAAAGTGAATGCAATTTTTTTCACTACCGTCACTTCGTGAAAACAGCGACATTTTTATCTGGTGGGGAGGGGTGAGAAGATTTTTTACTGCTCAAAGCAATATTATCTAGGATCATTTTTGTTCTCCCGAATGGTCACATGAATTGTAATATTAAAGCTGAAGGGTGTTAGATGCCTTCTGGGCCCCGTTGCCCCAAACTTACCATTGATGGTAACTTCGCCATCGATGGTCACTACCATGGAAACCTTGATTTTGATTGGCTGTTGAGCCCTGTTACCATGGTAGTTACCATCAATGGTAAGTTTTATGCAATGGGCCCAGGTTGAAGAAGGAGCTCTATCAAATATAAGTTTTGGAGCAGTATGATTGCAGGGGCCCTTGGGGAGAACAGTATTTTATTTGATTTGATTTGATTTAAATTATTTATTTCTGTTTGATTTTCTTTTTCTTTCACAGTTTTACAAATATATAACAAACTAAATTTAACTAATCATTGCAAATTTTACACATGATGAGGCTACCCTTGATGAACAAGGTATATTATTACTATTGTGTAACAGGTATGAAATCTCTGCATTTACACCTAACCAGACCTGTTGTTGTTGTTGATAATATTGGTCATGTGGTCATTCAGGACCTCATTTGGATAGAAGCTGGTCAGTGCCTATCTGGACGTCAGTTAGAAGGGCCTGCAGCTAAAGTGTAGTCATTAAAACAAAATGCATCACTCATATTTACTATTCTGTTTTTTGTTCTTTTCATTCCATAGCTTGAGAAAGCAGGCTGGAGCCTTGGTGATGTTGACCTGTTTGAACTGAATGAGGCGTTTGCAGCGCAGTCTCTCACAGTCACCAAGGAGCTTGGTATTGACACCTCAAAGGTAAATTTATTTTCAGGGATGAACATGATGACTTTTGCAGTATATTTAACAGAATATAAGCTTACCGGTATCTAAATGGACTGAAATGCACTTATGAGAGCAAGACATACACGTTAGCATGGATACATTTACTAGAAGGTGAAGAATACTCTTCTTAAGACCAAAGTTTTATCATGAACTTATAAAAAAATGAATTCTCATTTTTGTTTACTGACTCATCATTCATATCTCTTTTCTTTCTCTCTCTCCCTCTCATTCCATTTTGTACACCATTTCTCTGTCCCTGTTTCTCTTATGGACTTTTATATTTCTACCTTTTATCACCTCTTATTTATCCCCTTTTTGTTTATCTTTCTCCTTTGTTCCTCTATCTCTTCTCTCTTCTCTCATTGTCTTTATCTCCCCCTCACTCTCTCTCTCTCTCTCTCTCTCTCACTCTCTCTCTCTCTCTCTCACTCTCTCCTTCTCCCTCCCTCTTGCACACATCCCTCCCCCCCCCCCCCCTCTCTCTCTCTCTCTATCTCTGTCTCTCTCTGTGCAGGTCAATATCTACGGAGGAGCCATAGCCCTGGGCCACCCCTTAGCCGTGTCGGGCACCCGCATCATCGTCACCCTACTCAACGCCATGAAGAGGACCAATGCCAAGAAGGGCTTGGCTGCACTCTGTATCGGGGGAGGGATGGGCATTGCCATGTGTGTAGAAACTTCATAGTCGGGCAAATAACAATCTCATTCAATCTCAGTAAATCAATTTTTAAAAATTGGTCCTGCTTTTGTGGGAATAAATTCCTAAGTTGCAAAGTGTTTAATGGTAGTAGCATCCATTTGCAACCCATAAATGGATGGTAAGAGACATTTAATTAAGATGATTAAATTGAATGTATGATTAATTAGCCTGAAAGTAAGTTACAAGCAGAATATTTCTTGAACAAATGAATTTGTAGGAATTGGTGAGCATTTTCAGATTGAGCTTTCTCAAATATACCAAGCAGCTGAAACTGGATATAAAGACCACCCAGACATGACAAGAGAAACGGTCCTTATGAACAAGTAGTCTATATATACAGGTTTCTGTAAAACATGCCTCAATGTGAAACACTCCCAAGCGAAACCAAAAAAAAGCCAGTCTTTTGAAATGCTGCACTGTCATTGAATTCAAAGAGGTGATAATCTAAGCTCAAAATTTGTCTTATATTTTTGATGAGGGAATGTTGATACAAACCTTCCCCCTTTTTACAGAGAGTGAATATTATCCTTTGATTTCGAACCAAACATACATAACTTAGATAAAAGAACATGAGTATATATATTGAATAAGGCATGTACATATTCTTTTTATCATTGAAAGAAGCCATTATGTGGGGATCCCTTTGATGATTTTTTGTAAGTCTATTACACTTTTTTCCTGTTGATATATAATGTACTTTAAAATGATTTTAATGACAACTCACTGAAAATGTTCTGTTGAAGTATCTGTGTTTTTTTGTAAATTATGAAATTTCCAAAAATAATAGATTGTAAATGCTAGAAGAATGGTCAGCATTATATATTTTTTCTATTTTTGTTGGACAATTTGTTTTATCTTTTGTTGTTGTGGTTGCTTTAAGTTTGTTGGCTCTATTCATCAATTTTGATGATTTCTGCCAGGCTTTGTGTGAAAGGGCGTCTTGCTCTCTCTCCTGCAGCTCTACTTAATTTTGATTTCATGCCTACACTTTATGCTTTCAGGAATGGGGACCAATGTACAAAATTTTGACATATTACGACATTTGTGAAAATGTACATCTGTTTATCTGTGTATGTCTGAATGAAAAGTAATGTGTATTGAAAACTAAAATGGACGAAGAGCCAGTTGAAAACATGGCTGGCAGAAAACAAAATATAATCATGATTTATAATAATTTCTTCCTTATTCAAGAGGAATAAATGGATTAATTTAGCTGGCTTCCTGTCGTATAGAGGTTCTGAAATTATCTTTGACCCAAAGTGCTATTGTGGTTGTGACTGCAGTGTGTATCAATTATCAAATAGATGAACATATCACTGCATGAACCACTTATGCGAGCAGGGTAAAGGAGAACTACTGTGATGTTGTTTAATATGAAGGACACCATTTTAACAGAACAACCTCGTTATTGTGGAAAACTTTCAGTGACAATGTAGTTTTGCTAGTCCACTCTCCTTGTATTCTATTGCTTCCTAGCCTTGATTCAACAAGGTTTCCATATTGCAAGGTAGTTACCCTTGTGACTAGGAGTTTACTCATTTAAACAGGGTCATTTTGCAAGGCTACACTTGTTTGTATTCCTTTATTTTGTATCTCGGATATAACAAGGTTTTGGTAAAACAAGCTCATTCCTGATCCCAAGGAGTTGTTTAAATGAGGTTCTACTGTAATCTCGTGGTAGCTGTGATATTAGCTATCTGTATTAAATTACTTGAAGATCCAACACAAAGGAGATACATTAATCATGAGAGTGTAGATGCATTTTTGCTAAAGTTGTGTAAAGACAATTTACAAGTGTATTGCCCTAAATAATTTTAAACAATGTGCAATGATTTAAAAAAGGCATCTACGATTACACAGTAAAATGGATTTCATACTATGAACATTTCTCTGTGTATTGTTTGTAAGAGATGTTCCACTCGAACTCAGGGCAGGAGAAGGATTGTTTTATTTGTTTCAATTCAGTTATGAAAGTATTCAAAGTTGAATTTAAAGCTAATATCAGGCCTCTATATGATGATCATCTGTGGCGGACGTATTCGCTTTACTAAATATATAACTTTGTATGAAATTTCAACTTGTAATTATGTATTTGTCGATTTACAGAGGATTTCATGTCATTTGGTGTATGGTAATTATTAGTACTTGAATAAAAATTAATGCTTTCTCATACTTCAGTTGATTAATTGAGTATTGTAAAGTGTTCTCAATAAACCATATAAACAAAAGTGCCGTAGTCGAAATTCGAGGGTCGTGGTTCGATCCCCGACAGGGCACTTATGTCCTTTGGCAAGGCTTTAATTTTCATTTGCCATGCTCGACCCAGTGAGGTATTGGTACCTGGCAGGAATTAATTCCTTGAAATGCTGGAGCGCTGTAGTGGCAGCTGCTAGGCTAAAGCCGGGGTAATAATAAATGCGCCTCGGAATAGAATTTCTAGATAGACGGCGCTATTGAAATGCCCATTATTATTATTAATATTGTTTGAAAGTTTCTTGAATACAAAGACTTGTAATGCATCAAAAGGATATTAGCAAGCACTACACATGGATGGAACAAAAACTAAGAAATAAAGAAAGACAAAATGCAATTATTATTCATTTATAATACAAAGATTTATTTACAAGTAGATGCTCACAACTACCATCCTCAACATTGGGAGACACAGAAATTTGAAAGTATTAAAAAGTGACTATACAAACAAGAACTAAAAGAAAAAGGGATTTACATTTTAATAGTGAAAATGCCAAGGCATATTAAAACAATTTTAAAAGAATGTTAAACCTTCTGCATGTCGTTAATTTTTTGTAATACAAAAAAAAAAATCACAAATAAAGACCATCAGATAGTTAGAATGCCAAGTCCACTCTATTTGTCATGTACTTCAGTTCTATCAAGCTGGACTATGAATCTAGTTGGCTTGCATCAGAGAATAAGACATTCTGGGGAATTAGGGATGAGTTACATGTTCAAGGTAAATTTCTGAGACCAGGGGCCCGTTCCTAGAAACCGTCATAAGTCTAACTTCTTGACTATCGGTATCCCATTGAAACGTGTGTTAATTTTATAACACAAGTTTCAATGGGATAGTCAAGAAGTTTGATAAGACTCGTGACGGTATCTAGGATCGGGCCCTTGGATATAACATTACTTTAAAAGCCACATAGCCACACATGCCCTAGTTTATTTCAAATGCAGAAAGATGCAATGAAATTGATGTCCAAATATCCTATGTTAACGTATACACTGGCATACAAGATAAAACATTATAAACATCCTTGCCCATTATGAACTGTTAAAAACTCTTAATCTTGGAACTAGAACAACTTTTGTACACCTCACTGTCTACTATACTAAAAAATAATCACTAAAATGAAGTGTGTGGAGTCATGAAATTTACTGATTGAATGGCTGGTACATTACACAAATACAGAGGAGGAATGGGAAGTAGAAATCTTGTTAAAAGATGAACCATTTGGTAAACCAGCAAAAATGAATCAAACCTGCCTCAGATTTATTCCAAGATATTTATGTTTGAAGACAATTTGTTACACTAGTATATGATTTGTCATTCTGAAATAATATGCCCAAGAGTAGATTGAACCAATGTTGGCGATTGCCTAGAGCAGCCAACTCAACTCTTCATTCAATCATTATGTAAAATTCAGAATTCTGTAAGCAGCAATAAAAGTATCAACACCTATTATCAATTCATGTCTTTGCAAAGAGATTTTATCATTCTCTGAATTATGCATCTCTTCTCTTTTCTTTTCTTCCAATGTATCATATCAGGTGCAAATGTATATGCAATTGCTAAATGCCAAGGTCATACAAGACATTCTATCCTGCTTGTTCCATTCGCATAATATCCTCATTCCTTCCCTTTCATAGCATTTAAAAAGAATCTTGCTTTTTAATACTTCTGTACCTAAGAAAAGAATGATTTTTAATGCCATAGGCCTTCCGTCTCTTGACAGAAGATTTGTGTGTGATTTTTGCCATTACCACGAGTCACTGTCGATGCAAATACCTTCTTCAAATTCCTTCACACCGCCTCCTCGTCTTCCCACCCTCAACCTCCCACAACTCCTCCCACCCACCCCTTCTTGACCCCACCCTATGAGTCTACCTCTTCCTTTTGATCCACTACCTACTACTCATACCACTGCATCCATCACCGCCCCCAACCCCCTCTCCTCCCCATCCCCATCCCCATCCCGCCTCCTCCCATCCCTCCTCCGCCTCCCATCCTTCCTCCTCCTCCTCCCATCCCTCCCCCTTCCCCTCCTCCGAGCCCACCCCTCGGGGGCAAGGTGATGGCGATATCGATATAATCACCAATGGTGAAACTCTGAGATCCCAGGGTGACGGAATCGTCCGGTCCCTTGCGCCCGGAGCAGGTCATCCCGATCTCCCTCATCTGGTAGGCCTGATTGCGTCTGGGATGAGGGTGGACGATGGCAAAGTCGAAGTATGTGCCTCGCCGCCGAGCGTCCGGGTTGACCTCCTTCACGAGGCTGGATAACTCTTTTAATGTAGCATCCATCCTAGGAAGAAAACAGAATCAAATACAAACAATAGAATTAAAGGCAATAATAATAATAATAATAATAATATTCTGTTCTTGTATAGCATGTAAAACATAATGAATTAACGTCTCCATGCGCTTCCAAAGAGCTTTGGAAATTATTACTCTAGCTTTAGCTCCAACTGCCGTTATCAGCACATAGTGCATTTCAAGGAATAATCCTACCAGGTACCTGGGTTGAGTGTGGCAAATGTAGATTAATGCCTTGCCAAAGGACATTAGTGCCACGACGGGACTCGAACCGCAAACCTTGTGATCCAGAGTCCAGTGACATATCCACTCAACCAAAAAGAGGGTACATTGTAGGGCACAGAAGAAAGCTCTCTGTATCTAAAACCCCTGCATCAAACACATAGTACATGGCTTCTCATCACAGCATCAAAATCTGCTTAAAATTATCTATAGAGTCCGACTTCAGTTGATATTTCCCATAATGTAAGGGTACTGAATATTGCTATACTTGTTGCCAATTTTCTCATGTACATATTTAGCCACTACCATGCCCATGGTAAATCATTATTTCTAAAGAAAGTAACATACTGTACATGTATGTTTAATTGTTACTTTTTTGCTGCAACATGTTTATGTGAAGAATTTACCAGCTTATTTTGAAATGGCGATAGCTCAGTTGGTAGAGCGACCCGGGTTTGACACCAAGGCGATGCGCTAGTGCCCTATGGTAAGGCATTCATCCCCATTACCAGGTCTCTTGGAGAGGACCTAAAGCCGTTGGTCCTCTGGTTGCTTACTAACAAGCATTTAATGCTTTCTTAGCAGTCAGTTAAAATAACCACCACTACATTGTAAGGGCTAAAACCAGTCACAGGGTTTTTCCTTTATAGCATGAAAATTGACCCCATAAGTATGGTTTCCCATATATTCTGAACGATAAAAAGTCTGAAAAGCCTGAAACAGAGGGGCTACAGTCATTCAAAAGCTTAAAAGCTTGAAAACTGGCACCTCTGCATTCAGTGAAACTGTTACAATGACCAACTTACCATGTGTAGATCTGCAGTTCGTTGGCTGGGACTGTGCCCCTAGAAAACTCATGTTCCTGGTGATGGCGATTGTTACTACAGAACACCCTCAATAGCAGTGGGCACGTCTGTGGAAAAGACGAACGACAAAATACAGACATTTAATACAATGTGACATGAACTGAGTTTACCTAGATTGAGACTTACATTAGTACTTGTATTAATTTGCGTGTATGTGTGTGTGTGTGTGTGTAATTGGGGTTTTCACAGACGTGTGACAATCAGATATGATTATTTAGGTCTGGGGACCGACTTTTAACGTCACCATCTGAAAGAAGTGACTCAGTTTCAAACCTGCATCCTCGGCTGAATCAGTTTGTAACTTTCATTGATAGCTGGATCAGGGTGCACGCCAAAACGCCCTGTGTGTGTGTAATTGGGTTTTTACAGACGTGTATCAATCAGATCATTATTTAAGTCTGGGGACTGACCTTTAACGTCACCATCCGAAAGACGTGACTCAGTTTCGAACATGCGTCCTCGGCTGAATCAGTTTGTAACTTCCACTCTTAGCTGGATTACAGGCGCACGCCGCACGCCACACGCCACAAGCCCACAATGCCCTGTGGTACACTAGCTCTAATTTAACTATTGTTTTTAATTCATTTCATTTCCAAAAAATTGTTTATTAAATTCTCGATCATGACAACCTTCGTATTTCACTCAAGTCATGGCATCTAGACACTAGATAAAAAGAGATTATAAAAAAATGATCAAAATTATTAAAATTATTCAGAAGTAATTGAGTGGCCCTAGACTGCTGGAAGAATTCAACAAAAGAAAAAGACGTATAGGTCTAAGTCTTAGGGCTTTCAAATTTCAGCATTTATGGCATGCATATTTCAGTAAACGAATTTGAAAGAAAAATCTACAAGGCACAAATCAACATGACGTCTACCTTAAAGTTCCGAGAGTCCTCAATTTTTTATTTTGTTGTCGTAATTAAGAAAACTGGCAATAATTTGATTTGAGTAAGACTTGTAAATAGGCCCTACAGTACATTACTACTAAAGAAATACACACACATACACACATATTCTCATGTACACTCGTACCATCTTAAATATTAATTGCGAGTGGGGAAAGAGGCGGGGTATCGACCCTTTTTTATGGCCCGTGATTGGTACAGGCTTATGGTACACGAAAGACAACATATGGGACTACAATATAAAATATTTTTAAAAGCTAAACACCCTACCATTATTTGGGGGCTTTTTGCGTCCAAACTTTGCAATGTATTTCCGCCAAACGTTCACACTAATTTTTCAAAATACTTATACGATGCATTTTTAGCTTACCTTTTCACGATCTATCGGGTTTTCTGGCGCTGGAGGCTTGTTATCGACCTCTGTGATCCGTGATACCACGTGAGACGCCATCTTTGTCAAGATTGTAATTATCGTTCCAGACTCTCTCGATCTCTAGCTCTCAAAACAGTTATCAAAAAATTAGATGCTTTATCCTTTCTTTCACTCTTCCTTCCGGTTTGACTTTAGAATAGTTGTTGTTGTTTTTTGTTGTAATGGCAATCAGTCAAGACCTGACTATTATCACCAACGCCTTTCTTTCAAATATTAATTTCTTTCTTTCTCTTTTTTCAAAATAAGAGTATCAAAAATAATACCTCATCACCGATAGGGTTTATAATATGTTCATGAACGTTATAAATTTTATAAACGTTATATATAACCTAGGGTTATACTTATACTATAGGTATAGAGTCAGGGGTCAGCCGGCGGCAGGGGAGGGCCGCCAAAGAGGGGGCCCAATTTGTGAGAAAAATATTTAGCGAAACAGCCAGTCGATGAACAAGCGAGGGGCGGAGGCGGGGGTCAGGTATAAGGAGGACTAATTTTTGTTTTGCCCCAAAAAATGTGAAAATCGCACCCCCCCCCCCCCCCGTCGCCCTTGATGAGCACCAGGGGAGGGGGTCAGTCGTCTATATAAAGGTGACTGTTTTTACAGTGTTTTTTTTCCTCAGGGAGCCGCCCCCCCCCCCCCCCCCTGGATCTGCCACTGGCTAGACTTAGATTTAGGGTCATTCACGTCTTTTTGCACTAGATTAGCTTTGGTGAAAATCTGGTCAATTTTGTGGTGCGGGTGTTCTCAAGTTGCTCCTACTTTCTTTATTCGATCTGCTCCATAATTTCCATTTCTTTATTTTCTGTCTTAATTTCTTTCTTTCTTTCAATCTTATGTCTTTGGTTCTTTATTATCATTGGTTAGGCCACTGGAGAAGGGTGATGAATTAGTTATAGGCCTATAAACGGTGGGGCAGCTCTGTTTAAGTTTGTAACTTTTTAAATATTTTTTGTCACCATGGACTTTCAAATTTCTAATGGCATTTAGTACCGTATGAAATACTCAGTGACATTAGGCACCAAAATCATTTAAAATGGCGTCTTAAACGAGGCCTGAGAAGTAGCCCCCCCCCCCCCCCACTCCACCACCACGATTACTAGACAGTGTGGACAGTACCAAGCAGTGTGGAGTGCATGGGACAGTCATGGAAACTGGGACAACATTCTCAAAAATGCTAAAATCACTATTAATTTTCAACACCAATTTATTGTCCTATAAATGTTTGAGATATTGATGGAATAATTTTTTGAAATAGGAAACATCTATTGAATCGCTGATCTAACTATAATATTACCCTTAGTGAAAATAAAAATGGATAAATTGATTAGGACTAGTTTTATGAATTCCATCTAAATTTCGACATTTTCACACAATAAAGATTTTTTTTTAAATACAATTTATATATTTCTTGGTATTCACAAGTTTTCCATGAATTGTTTTCAATAATCTGTAAACAGGTACCCTATAGTCTTATACTTTCAGCACTTTTTAAAAAAACATTTTTGACATATCAAGCAGTTTCATATTTCTACCATCGTTCTGCACACAATTATATAGGCCTATCTCTTTATATTTCTTATTTGTATTTGAAACCTTTTGTTGCAATAAGGGAAAAATAATTGGCCTACCATATCTATGGACATAGAAAAAGTGTAACTTACATAATTATATGTGACACAGTGTCCCAATACACCCAATTGGGGAGAAACTCAAATACTTCACACCCACTGAATATATATATATATTAGTTTATCATTTAAAAAGAAATACTATTGCCGCATTAAATGGGTCACATCGGAGCTCTAAACTCTATATGCAATGTGTTTAGAACAGCCAAGGAGTTAAAGCAGAGCATATAGTACACCAGGAAATATATAGGCCAACTTGTAAAACCGTGGACAGCAAGGCGCCGAAATAAAGGAGGGGGCGGGGGGGGGCAGTCGTCAAAAATGAAGAAGTGACAATTAAGCCATGACTACCTATTTAAAGCTACATACAGATTTGTGGTATTGGCGTAGATACATTTTGTGAAAATAGGTAGTTAAGATCTTTTGTAGGATTTAAACAAATTTGTTTATTTATTTTTCATTCTCTTTATTATAGCTCCTTTTTTAATTTTATTTATTTCCCTAATTCGCCCTTTCTGGGCTGGCACGAACGCTTGAAGGAAAAGTATTGTATTGTATTATTGTATTATTTATTCGGCACTTTCAAGAAATATAACAATTCAACAATATAAACATGGTAAATACAAAATTGGAATGACAACAAATTGCAAATACAAATTTTTGTAGCAATATTCTGAGTGCAAAAGATGGCGGCCAGGGAAGAAGAGAGCAAACTTAATTACTGTAACCGTGAAGGTCCCTCCGCCCAACCAACTGATGCACTCAGAAGACTGGTAAAAATATAGCATAAGGACAAATAAGACAAATCAAGTAACAAATCAAGGATAAACAATAAAAATATAAAGAAAGGCGAGGCACGAGCATATGTAACGCCAACATAGAAATTATAGATAACATATTACAAATTTGCAATTTCAATAACATATTACAAATGTACAATTTCAATAACATAATAGCATTGACTCTCCATAGAAATATAATGTAACTAGCATGTTCAATATTTATACTGGGGTTTTCTTTACCTGATTAAATGCTATCAAAGTATTACATGTATATTAAATAACTTTAAAATAAAATGAAACTATTATCCGGACTTATGACACATATCTGATTGATCACATATTATATAAATGAAATTGAAATTGAGATTTTTGAATTGGAAATTGAGGTCCAACTGAGTGCAGAAGACTGTTAAAAAAACACAGCATACAGACAATAAAGAGAGTAACAAATCAAGGATAAACAATAACATAAAAAAGAAATGAGAGGAAAGAGCAAATGTAAGCCAATATAAAAATTAAGTACACATTATATACATGTATTACATAAGAAGGTTCACAAGTTTAATGATATACCCGGTTATAATACCATGGTTTACATTTACCTAATTAAATGTTATCAACATATTGCATTAAACAAATTTGAAATAAGATGGAATCATGTTTCGGACTTATATCGCGTATTAGATTGTACACATAATTTATAAATAAAACTTAAATTGAAATTATTTAATTGAGAATGCCTGTATCAGCGTTATACACTGATGTCGAGGGATGAGAGGTGAGTTTTGAGGCTTTGTTTCCAATTGACGAAGTTTACTAAGATAAGGTCATTACGTAAACTAATGGGCAAACTGTCCCATAGGATCGGGAAAAGAAATAATGCCGTATTGGCTAGTCGCTGAGTGCGAGCACGAAGATGTTTAAAACGAAGATCATCCAGACGCCTTGCAACCACGTGTATGCTAGCTTGAACATCTTCACAAGAAGTGAGACGGAGAAGGGACTTGGCTACAAAGGTAATGATGAGGAAGGTGCGGCGAGACTTCAAACTTTGCCAGTTTAACAATTTCAGTCGATTTTGGTATGACATTTGTTGCCGTTGTTGTTTTAGGATAAGACGGGTTGCGCGGCGTTGGATGCTTTCTAATCTGTCAGAAAGACAGCTATTGTAAGGATTCCACGCAGGTAATCCATACTCGAGTATCGGGAGAACCAATGATTTGTACAGAGCAAATATTGCTGAGGAGGAGAGACCGGAAGAAAGAGAGGTAAGTAAACCTAGCATTCTATTTGCACGGGAGATGATATAAACGACATGACTATCCCAGGAAAGTTTGTGGTTTAATATCATCCCTAGATACTTCAATTCACCTACAACCTCTACAGAATCTACGTTTACATGGTAAGATGGAAGACTGACATTTTTCTTCTTCATTCCTGCTATCCGCATTACTTTTGTTTTCTTTGCATTTAGTTCCATTCGATTTCTCGAACACCATATCAATACATTGTCCAGATCACATTGGAGAGCACGGGAGTCGTCAGCACACCTGATTGGACGATAAATTAGAGTGTCGTCTGCAAACATAGCACACCTAGAAGACACACAGTCCGGAATGTCATTAACAAAAAGGTTGAAGAACAGGGGGCCAACAATGCTCCCTTGGGGTACCCCTGAGGGTACACCACCCCACTGAGAAGATGCACCTCTGAAGATCACTCTCTGTTGACGACCACATACGAACGACTTGATCCAATGCCATAGATTTCCGCCTATGTTATACTGCAGTGATAGCTTGTTGAGCAGGATGTCGTGTGGCATTTTATCAAACGCTCGCGAAAAGTCAAGTGAGATGACATCTACTGGGCAAGAGGAGGGACCTTCGAGACAGTGCAACCAATCATTAGTTAGATGCAGGACTTGAGTTACACATGATTTCCCTTTCTGAAAACCATGCTGCACATTGGTGATTGGACAAGTAGAATCACAGTGGCTCCGTATGGTTTTAGCAACGAAGGACTCCATGATCTTACTGGCCAGGGATGTCAATGCAACAGGACGGTAATTGGATGGACAGGATTTATCACCGGCTTTAAAAACAGGGGTGATGTTAGCAGATTTCCAAGAGGTTGGAACTTTACCTAAGGCTAGAGATATATTAAAGATGCGTTGTAAGATATGGCATGACACAAGTGCGGTTTCCTTCAGTAACACAGATGAGAGGCCGTCCGGACCGGGTGCTTTTTTCGTCTGGAGAGTAACTAATTTCTGGTAAACATCAGTAACGGACATATCAAAGGATTTCAGAGACTTAATAGGAAAGTCACATTTTGGAGGTTCGTGAGGAACTATGCTCTGCTCTGTGAAAGACTTCTGAAAACTACACAGAAATTCACTAGCGATGTCAGCAGGGTTGCTTACGACGCAGTTATCAACTACGATCACAGTACAAGATTGAATGGAAATTACAATTAATTTGAGAATTATAACTTCCTTAGAGACCTTTAAATCCAAGCTGAAATCTTATCTTTTTAAACAATACCTGTACTTGGCACTATGACACTCATTCGAACTTTCTCGTCCAAACTTTCTCATTCTTTCTATTTTTCTTGTGCGCCTCGGAATAGCATTGTCTACATAGACGGCGCTATA